GCTGCTGCTTCTCTGCCCACTCTGCAGTGATGGCTGTTCCCCTCACATTCCCTGACACACTGGGCTAGAGGAAGGGATAGCACACTCCTTCCACCTTCATTGTCATTTCCAGACCCTCCCTCTGCTCCTGTTTCTCAGCAATTTCTCCTTTAAAAGTCACTATGGGGGCAGCTAGATGGCGCAGTGGATAGAGCACCGGCCCTGAAGTCCTGGACCTGAGCTCAAATCTGGCCTCAGACCAAACACTTGACACGTACTAGCTGTGTGACCTTGGGCAAGTCACATAACCCCAATGCCCAGCCAAAAAAAAAAAAAAAAAAAAAGAAATTACCCAGGCCAGCTATGTTCCCATCTTCAGCCCTCTCTGGGTTCCACTCCTGAGTCTTTAGGCTTCTTTCTCTACCATGATCCAGCAATCTTCTTTACCCCAAGAGATCCCTCCATTCAGACAGCCTTCTCACCTCTGATTGGTCAGTTCCTACTGGGACCTCCATTTCAAAGAAAGTGGCCACACCAGTCATATTCACTCTCCCTCCTTATCTTCCTTTTTAGTTTCTTTTTATGTACTGTCCCCCATGAGACAGTAAGCTTGAGGGCAGGGACTATCTGTCTTTTTGCTTGTATCTGTGTCCTCAGTGCTTAGCACACAACAGATGCTTGTTGAACTAGCCTGTAAATCCAACCACCTCCACTCGTTCCACCTCCTTTCTCGAGGAGCTCAGTACCTTGCTCAGTCTCTCCAACCTAAACCCTACTGTTATACTCAGAGATTTTAATACATACTGCTGATATCCCCTCAAGGACCGTGGCCTACCAGTTTATAAGTGTTCTCAGTTCCCATTATCTACAACTTCAGCCACCCCCAGCAATGGTGTACTGTCCCAGATCTCACTTTCACTTATAACCGTGCCATTGCCATGATTTGGAATTGTGAAATCCCCTTTTCTTTTACCTCATACCTCCTTAAGCCTTTTTTTCACTCTCACTGCAATCTCCACTCCTATTCCTTCCTGTTCTCAGAGTTCATCTGTGACCTACTCTGGCCTCATGTTGCTTTCTGACACTAGAGATAACCAGTTATATACAGGTTGTCTTTTGTCCATGACTTCTTTACCCTCACCACCCAACTTGGATTACTGCTGCTCATGCCCTGCCAACTCTTCAAACTCAGGTAATCTCTAGACCCTACTGTCCTCTCAAGCTATTATTTTGTAATGCTCCTTCCATTCACTGTCAAACTCCCCAAAAGGATAATTTACACTCATTGCCTCCACTTCCTTGACATGCCATACTCACTTCTTGGCTCCTTGTAATCTGGCTGAGGGTTGAACCCCAGTGGAACCACTCTGTACAGGAATGCCAATGGTACCAACAGCTATTCTCAGCTGGCCTCCTCCTTTACTGCTGCAGCACTGGATTCAGTTGTCTACTCCTTCCTCCTGAATATTCTTTTCCTGTGGCCTCCTTGACACTGGTCTTTTTTTTTTAAATCCTTGTCTGACCATTCCTTCTATTTGCTACATAATTTCTCTTGCCCACTTTGCTTGTCACCTGTCCTTTCAAGTTCAGTCTCTAACTTGACCCTATTCTCTTCTTTCTTAGTGATTTCATCTCCTTCCATGGGTTCAAGTATCACCTCCATGCAGACGGCCCGAATCTTTCTCTTGAACACCAGTTCTGCTTAGCTAATTGTCTTCTGCCTTGGATAGCTAAATGGCACAGTGAATACAGCGCCAGGTCTGGAGTTAGGAAGACCAGAGTTCAAATCCAGCCCCAGAGGGGCAGCTAGGTAGCACAATGGATAGAGCACTGGCCCTGAAGTCAGGAGAGCCTGAGTTCAAATCCAGCCTCAGACCAAACACTTGACACTTACTAGCTGTGTGACCTTGGGCAACTTACTTAATCTTTGTTGGCCTCAGTTTCTTCATTTGTACAATGAGGATATTAACAGTACCTACCTCACAGGATCAAGTGAGACAATAATTATGAAGTGCTTAGCATTGTCCTGTCACACAGCAAGCCCTATATAAATGTTAGCTATAGTTTATCCTAGGAATATCCTGGATATACTATAGGTATCTCAAACATATCCAAAAAGGAATTTCATTCTTTTCCTTCTGAACTCTCTCCCCCTCCTACTGCGGTTGGGAGCACCATTATCTTCCCAGTCATGCAGGCTTGTGACCTTTGAGTCATCTTGATGATTCCATCTCTCTCATCCCCCACATCCAATCAATTTTTTCAATGACACCATTGCATTTCTCCCCCTCTCTCCACCCACACTGCTACAACCCTAAGCTCAGGCCTTCACTTTGTCTTAATTACTATGACATCCTAATTAGCCTCCCTACTTCCAATACTTCCCCTCTACAAATCTTCAACAATTACCCAAATAATCTTTCTAAAGCCCAAGCCATACCCTCCCTTGCTCAAGAATCTTCAACGCCTTCCTGTTGCTGATGAGATAAGACACAAGCTCCTCAGCTTGGTATTTAATGCCCTCCTCAATGTGCCCTAGACTTACTTCCCACTGCTTCTTTTTGAGGATTACATTCTAGCCCAACTGTTTCTTCAACACGGCGCTCTGTCTCTTGCCTGTGTTCATAGAAGCCGCCCTTCATGTCTGGAATCCCCTCTGATTGCCTTCAGTCTGAATTCTTGACTTTCTTCAGAATCTACTCGGGTACTTTGCAGCCTTCTCTGGTCCTCTGAGGTGTAGTGTGTGCCACCTCGGTTATACAGTACACTCGGGGTCTCGCCCTTGCCCATACTGTCCCACTTCCCTGTTTATGAATTCTGAAATCCCTGTCTTTGATCCCAATCTTTCATCATTCTACTTCGTCCTCTACTTCCAAAAACTCTGTTCTTCGTCTTCACTGTGACATCCCACTCTTTGACCTCTTAGTTCTTTCCCAGGCCACAGTGGCTACACTCCTCCCTTCCCCATCTTGATCTCTTAGTAAACCAGCTCAACTCAACATTGTCCTCTTCTCTTGAATCCCTTGTCCCCTTATCCTCTCACTTCTTGCCCTGCCAAGCATCAGTCCTGGATGACTTTCACCACCCTGATGCCTTTGCTCCTACTTGTGTTGCTGAAAAACAAAACAAAACAAAACAAAACTGGAGAAAATCTTGCTGACTGGACCCACCATTCATTTAGTTTCCATAAACTCAAGTGGGCCCTCACTGCTGCCAGGGCAATCCTCCTACGCCTCCCTAACTGACTCCCTCTCCTACTCGTCACAGCAGTTCTTCCAAACCTCTTTGTTCCTTCTCAAGCCTCCCACAGCCTTCTCTACCCTCATTCTCTCAGCTGAGAACCTTGCCTCATATTTCACTGAAAAAACTGAGGCCACTTGCTGAGCTTTTCCACTTCTTAAGTCACATATCCCAGATGCCTTCTGCCTCTATCTCTTTCTCCCAGCTCACATGAGATGGCCCTAGTCCTTGCTAAGGCAAACCCCTCTACACCCATGAGTGATCCCATTCTATCTTGTCTACTCCAGCTGATCATTCCTCAATCCTCCCCACTCTTCTTATCTTCCTTCCCTCCTTGTCTACTGGCTGCTCCATGTTTTCTTCATCTTCAAAAACCCCTCACTCTCACCATCCATCCCCACTAGCTATTGTCTCATCTCTCTCTTTTGCAGCTAAACTTGAGGCCATCTATTTTAGCCACCTCCACTTCTTTCCCATCGGACTCTCTTAACCCTCTAGAGTCTGGCTCCTGCCCATATCATTCAACTGCTCTCTCCAAAGTTACAAATTATTTCTTGGTTGCTAAATCTAATGGCCTCTTGTCAGTTCTCATCCTTCTTGACCTCTCTGCAGCCCGACACTGTCCTTTCCTTTCCCAATACCAACTTAAAGCTTGTTTTCCTTCTTCCCAGTGGGAAACCATTTAAAAACAACTTGCGCTACATTTATTCTTATGCATTTGGTATTGCCTCAAAAAAAACAAAAACAAAAACAAAAAAATGACAACAAAAAACCAGGCCAACGCAGCTAGCAGTCCTTTCCTCAGCTCTCTGCGTTGTAGATCCGCCTCTTGCCCCATTTCTCCCAAAAAGCTGCTCTACTGGCTGTGGGCACAGATGGGGCAGCCAGATGGACCACAATGGCCAGTAGGCCATGACTTCCAGTGGTGCTGTCAATCCTTCCTGCCACCACACTTCAACTCAGATTCTCCTTCTTGGCTCTGGGTGGCAGGGAGTCATCCTGGAGAGCTGACCGATGTCTGAGACCTGAATGAAGAGGGAACATCCTGGCACCCCCCCGCCCTAACCTAACTTCCCATTTCCTCACCCCCACCTCAGGCTTTTTAGTTCTGCAGGTGTTTTACATGTGACTCTGGGTAGATCTAACTGTACTGCCTGTTGTTGTTCTTGTTGTTTCAGTTGTGTCCAGTTCTGTGTGACCCCATTTGGGGTTTTCTTGGCAAAGATACTGCAGTGGTTTGCCATTTTCTTCTCCAGGTCATTTTACAGATGAGGAACTGAGGCAAACAGGGTTAAATGACTTGCCCAGGGACACACAGCTGGTTAGTGTCTGAGGCCGAATTTGAATTTAAGTCTTCCTGAATCCAGGTCAGGCACTCCATCCACTGCATCACCCAGCTGCCCTTACTGCTTGCTGTATCACTTGTTTAATCAAAACGGTGGGTATGAATTGTTTTTCTTTGCTTTGAACTCTCTTGTCCTGTAATATTTGGGTAATGATGAGCTAGGAGTCCCAGAAGTCCTAAATGGGGTGACTCAGCTTAACCCTCCACTGGGACTGTAAGAGGGGCAGCAGAGAAAGGAGTAGATCCTTGGTGAAATGTCAGAGCCACCCAATTCTGCCTCACTGGAATCCGGCTCAGTCTGTGGTGGGCTTGGGACATGGCTTCATGTCATGGGTGACTGATATCTTCACCTGGAGTCTGAATGAACACTTTGCCCCCACTGACCGAGGCAACACCTGCAAAGGATTTTCTGGGCTCCAGAATGAGCGACACGAGCTGCGGACAGCACTGTACTACTTTATTGGGTCTTGCAAGCTTTAAATACAGAATAGGGGTTGGCATCTTGGGCAGGGAGCAAGGGTAGATGCTGCTGGCATTTAAGACTGGACAGATCAGAGAAGTAACATAATCAACTATCAGTTAGAGAACTAGGAGGCAAAGACGAAAGGAGGGCCACGTGGGTCAGAGTAGGGTGCCAAGCAGCAGCTACTCTTAGTTGATGGCTCTCCCTTATCTCCCCTGTGCATAAAGTCTTTTGTGTTTATTCCTGTTCATAGGCAAGTTGATTCGAAGACAATTAAAAAACACAAATCAGGTCAGGAGAAACCTGGGATGGCAAAGCCTCCAGTTCCAGGAAAGCTTTCCAGCTCCCCATCCCTCCCTGCCTAGGAATTCTGCCTCATGAGACAGTCCCATACACTGAAGCAAAGCTGGACCCATCCTTCCCCCCTTCCCAGTCCTGGGCTCTCCAGTTGACACCTCCCTCCCAGGTGGGGAAAAGGTTTTAGTGTAAGCGGTGCTGATGGGGCAAGAGACACTTTCTAGCGGCTGTAGCCAAACTCATCTGCATCATCTGCTCGAAAGTCCCCATAGCGCCAGAGATTCAGCTGCAATGAGAAACGGAGAACACAACTGTTAGCTCAGCGCTTTCTTCCCCAAGCACTATGATCAGCCTTCCTCCCACCCCACAGTGGTCCCTGGGGCAGGAACTCACCCTGGCGCTCTTGGCTGACTCCTGCGCATTCAGATATTCTGTGATCTGTAAGTTAAAAGCAGGGAGAAGGATGTTAAGGGAATTGTGGACCACAAGAACTAGCCTAAGGCGCTCCTAATCTTGTGAGTGGCACCCTCTGCCCCCATCATTTTCATCAGGGTTAGGAACATCAGGCAAATGGAGAAGATTCAGGGAAGACATGACAGCTGTCCAAGTATTTTAAGGGATGTCATGTAGAGGAAGGATTCAATTTGTTCCATTGGCTCTAGAGTGGCAGAACCAGGAATGATGGGTTGAAGTTGTAAAGAGGCAAATTTAGGCTGGGCTCCATGTCAGAAAATGACCTCTTCACAGGGAGAGCTGGGCAGAGGTGGAGTTCTCTTCCTTGGAGGTCTTCAAACACACTCTGTACAACCATTCGTTGGGTAGGACACAGTGAAGATTTCCTTTTGTGTATGGGTTGGACTAGATGACCATTGAGATCCTTTCCAACTCTCAAATTCTAGTTTTGTAATCTGGAAGATTCCAGAGGCCAGAGTAGGTGTGAGCAGCTCTGCTGCCTAGCGACTGGGAAAACTCACTTCTCCTTCATACAATGGATCTTAAAAACATGAACATGTCTTAGGCAAACTCACTCTGCCCTTGAAAAAGTGGCTTTCCAAAGTGGGGGTGGTGGGGCAGGGAATGTGAGCAAAGGCAGCAGTAGAAAAGGCTCTATTTTTATAAACAGTGGTGTCTTGTTGCAAATGAAATATTGACTCTTACAATCAACACCATCGACCCATGAGCCAGCCACAAATAAATTAGGAAGGACTGGGTCATCAGGAGGGAAACAGAGAAGGAGAAAGGAGAGATTGGAAGAAGGGAAAAAGATGGGTGAAGTGAAAGAAGGGAAGGCAGTAAAGGCCCCAAAGAAGCATTATTCTCAAAACCAACTTTTCCATCTTCTGCAGACATTTAGGCCAAGGGGTGGGACGGAAGAGAAGAATGCCTTCTCTATGCCCAGTTCTGTCTCATAATGGCAGGGCTAGAAGGAACTTCCCATCTCCAATTTACCCTCATGAGAGGGCACACTGGCTTGGCCTGTGTGAGGCAGGTTCCCTCCTGTTAGGTGAGAAGGAGCCTCAGTTCCTTAAAAAAGGAACCTTCCCCCGGAAGGTGAGGGTTGGCAGGTATAGAGATAATTTGAGGGTGTGAATGGGATAGAAGAGATTCAGGGTGACGATTTTCATTTTAGTGAAAAAAAGGATATCCCTGGCTGGTGGCTTAAAATGTCTATAGCTCTCAAGGTGGATCGAGGAAGAGGGGCACCTGCCTGAACTGCACGATGGTAACTGTGGTACCTTGTCTCCTCGTGAACGTGAAGAAGAAAGAGGCAAGCCCATCTCTGGCCAAAGCTTTCTAACTGTGCCCTTTCCTCAATCCCATCACCCAGGGAAAAACATAAGGGTTAATTTCCCATTTCAGTTTGCACCTAAATGTTGGTCAAACCCACATACCACAGCCATTTAATTTGGAAAGTAATTAACTAATCTCTACCCCCCCCACGCCAATCCCACACACCCTTCTCAATTCTCTTCTGCGGCTACTATGCTCTCTGTTCCCCCCTCCCCCCCACTTCTCAGTGGGGGTGGGGAAGATGAGGTAGGTGTTCCTCATTAGAAGAAAAGCAGGAGGGCCTCAGGCCTCACCATTAGCAGGCTGTCTCCCTTCCCTAATAACATACCACTTTCTGGAACTGTTTCTCCTTGCGAACCTCCACCATGACCAGCCCCTCTTTGACCAAGCCCAGTCCCACATCACCCTTGGAATCTGCAAACTGAAGGGTGACGTGGGGGCAGCCGGGGCTCAGGTGTTCCACGTTGAGTAGGCACTGAGTGTTCTGGATGTCCCGAACCACACTGTCCACAGCATCTGTGCGGGCATCCTCCTAGAAAGCAGAACACCACAACAGAAAAGAACAGCCAGAGCATTACTAAGTGTGGCAACAACCCTCGCCGATGCCTACCAAGGATAGGGCACTCATGCAATCATGGCTTCCTACCACTGTCTTTCCCACTTTGTGAAAATGCCCACTTCTGTGTGTGTGTGTGTGTCTGTCCATCCATACATGCATTATACACACAGGCTACAACTATGTGCACGTGTGGGCTAGTCCTAGAACTAGGCAGTGAAATATCCCTTCAGACACTTAACGAAGCACAGTAAATGAAGGGTCTGGACTCACATCTTGTGGCACCTGGATGAAGGCAAAGGCATACTCTGTGGCTTGAGCAGGCAGCACTCGGGTGCTGAAGGCGGGTGGTAACGTACCCAAACGGGTAGATGGCAGGATCTCTCTCTGTGGGGAAAGCACCAGGAAAAGTCAGATCACATAACCCTCTAGCCCTGGAACCTTCTTCAGCAGCCTAGGGTTCCCTTCTTTCTGCAGGACCTCTTCATGACTGGTCCTTTGGCTTTAGTGAAAATCTGTGAATTCTAAGTAGTAGTCTCTGACCCTCAGCCTTGGGGTAGATTCCACTTTAGTCACACTCAGCCTTTCCCAGTCATCTAAACCTGGAGGGAGGGCAGTATCCACCCCAGATGGAAGCTAACACTAGAGACTCAGTACTTTTCATCCCTGGGCGTGGTGCCAGGGACACCCAGTGGTGCCTATTAAAATAATCCTAGTGATAACTGGGCTCTAATTGCTGTTGCCCCCTTCCTTCCAAAGACCTCTCTTCTGGGAGACTGGTCCCTGACTCTTCTGCTAGGCAGAGACAGAGGAAGTCTCAGCTGTTGGCTGAGAAGAACAGAGGGGAACATCCTGGGAGTCCCTGGAGACCTGCCTACTCTGCTTTGGCTCTACTAGAGATCAAATGATGCCTGGGCTCATGTGTCCCCTTCTTTTGGAGCTTCATTTTGTTCCCTGCACCCCATTACTGAGCCTAACGCCTGAGTGAGAAACAGGAGCAGCATGGGGTCAGTGTTGGAGACCCAGCTGGAAATTCCTTGTATCTCCTGCCACTGTTTCCATGACATTCACAGTATATCCTCTCACACCTGTCACACAACTAAGTCCTTCATGTTTGGAAACCTAACTGCAGAAGATACAGCTCTTTATTCTTGCTCGTGGCCAACGAAATGGGGCAAAGGTGGGTGGGGAGACGCAAGGGTGTGGAGCAGTTATCATCCCAAACTCTAGGAATGAGAGATGAAGCTTGGGGTTGTGTGAGGAACATGGGAGATGTGCCAACTTTCTCAGATTTGCTGGGTGTCTCTTGGAATCTTTTTTTGTGCTCCTAGTCTGGGTTATTTTTCATCTAACACCACCCCACCAATCTCTCTCAGGAGAAGCCCAGTCACACACAAACACACCTGTGCTCCCATCCTACCTGGCTGGAGCTTATGGGACCTCCCTGAGGGAAGATAAAAGACCTCAAGTTCAATTCCTCAGTAGGATTATAAGAAGCAATACATTGTGGGAATGAGTACATGCAGTAGGGCATAAGCCCAGATGAGCCTATGGCTCTGACCAGAATATAATTCTCCTATCCCAGGGATTATTTATCTGGGATTTCTGAACTTGTTTTAAAATATTTTTATAACGGTATATAATTGGTTTCTTTTGTGTAACTTGATAGATTTCATTTTATGCATTTAAAAACATGACTCTGAGAATAGGCTTCACCAGATTGCCAAGTAGTCTCTAACCTAAAAAAGGTTAAGAACCCCAGTCCTTTCCTACTTCTCAGAAGCATGGCCATGTCCATCCCAAAAGCACTGCAGTGGTGCTCATTTCTTCCCCTTCCCTATAAACCTAGTGAGTCTGGGAGTCAGCATCATTTAGTCTTCTCTGTTTCCAGGGTACCTTGCTAAAATCCCAACACTCACATTGCCATAGTCGATGTAGAAGACATGAACCTTGGCTGGAGACTCCACCTTTTCTACCCGAGCTCGGTACCTGCAAGTCACAGATGAAAAGTCACACCTGCAAGTACCTACGTGTCACAGATGAAAAAACAGCTATAGTAGTTTGGTGGGGGGGAGAGGGAAGGGAGAAGGGAGGTAGGGAGCCCTGGGCTATTCAGAAACCACAAGATGTAGGGGATGGGCTGGCAGGACCATTCTCCAGACTGCCTTTTAAAGAGTACAGCAGAAGGCTTTGGTTGTCCCCACTCCCTCACCCTAGGGAGAGGGTCCATCCTCCTATGGGATCTGAGTAACCAGGGAAGGAGAGGGGAGGGAGAATGGAATACATGGAGCAGATTAATGTGTCCTCAGGGCATAAAGCAACAAGACTAATGACTAGATTGATGTCTGCTGTTTAAACCCAGCACACTAAACAGTAGCTGTAATTAGTCGGCAGATCTGTCTGGGAGGCTACAGCAGGGAACACTTCCAAGTCACTTTCTCACCCTGGGAAGACCATGGGCCCTGCCCTCTGCAGCCAGCCTTAGCTGACAGGGGGTTGGTCTGTCACCACTCTCAGACAACCTGGGGGTTGTCCCAAGGCTGAGTGTTGTCCTCACCCCTCCTCCCACACCCCTATGTGAAAGCACCGCTGTTTCTGCTGTGTGAGTGTGGAACATGCCAGTTGGTTCAGTCTCATCAGGCTTTCCATAGGCTAGTTCCCCAAGGGAGTTGGGAAAATGCCACTTGCTTCTGCATTCAGGGAGGTAGCCAAGCTGCAGGGTGCTCTTCTATCCAAACCTGCCAACAGACTGCCCCCAAAGCTGGCCCCAGGCTGGCAGGGGGAAATCACCAGCAATGGAGTATAAACTGATCAGCCAAGAGAGCTGCCAGGAGAGGAGCAGAATGATGTCATCATGCCACCCTGGAAAAGCTGCAAACTGAAGAGGGCTATCTTGGACCCATGGGTGTGGGTGGCTCTGGTGCAGCTCCCAGGGTCCCCTGCCCTCTCCTCGCTCTGTCCTGGGTGGGCTTACCATTCTCCATCCACAAACTTGGCAATGCAGAATTCTCCTCGGCGAGGGGCATAGGATCCCTCTATGGGCGGGTGGCTGGCGATGTCATTTCTCATGCCCTCCATCAACTTTTCTAGTTGTGTACCTGTGTGTGTGGGGGGGTGGTAGGGAAGGAAAGTGAAGTGAGGCCCAGGTGTTGCATGCCTCAGCGTCCCCATCTTTGCACGGAGTGGGAAGCCAGAAGCCTCCTCCATTCCTGAACCATCATTACACATGATTATATTTGTCCCCTCCCCTCCCCCCACTTTTGAGCATGCTCTCAACATTCCTAAGACGGCAAGGGGTGAAGAGGCGATCAGTGTCTTGGTTATCGGGACTATGTCACAGGGGACAAAACTCTGCTTAGGATTTGGAGCTGGGGGTCTGGGTCCAGGTTCCAGCTCTGTCTTTACCTGAGTGACTTTCAGTAAATCACGTGTCCTCTCTAGACCTCAGTTTCCTCATCGACAAAATTCGGGGCTTGGACTCAGTATTCTCTGAGGTTCCTTCTAGCTCTAACTCTATGATTCTGTGACCATGCCAGCTGAATGAGCAGGGAAGGAGGATGCCTGAAGACCTTGTATCCCACAAACTGATACATATTCTTCTAACTCCTGGCCAAGGTCCTAAAGGTAGGATTTTTCTAGGAAAATTAGGCCTGACAAAAACCACTGATCCAAAGTCAGCCTTCTCTGGATATATCAACTCATCTTTTTGTCTACTCTCCTCTCTCATTCCCTGGCATTGCTACTCTAGGACTACACCTGGCTTAAGTCATACACATGGCTGTCTGTTTTCAGGCAAAGAAACAAGTATGGCTACCCATTACACCATCCTACAATCCTACAGTGAGATGAAAGGCAAATGTGGAGACCAGGGACCACAGAAAATCTCCAGCAAAGGAATAATCAAGCAATAGGGATTTGGACTTAAGAGCATAGTCAGAGCCCAGGAAAAAGATGATAAAACCTTGGTACAGTGAGCCCAGATCCTCATTTAAAGTCCCAGATGAGCCTATGGCTCTGACCAGAATATAATTCTCCTATCCCAGGGATTATTTATCTGGGATTTCTGAACTTGTTTTAAAATATTTTTATAACGGTATATAATTGGTTTCTTTTGTGTAACTTGATAGATTTCATTTTATGCATTTAAAAACATGACTCTGAGAATAGGCTTCACCAGATTGCCAAGTAGTCTCTAACCTAAAAAAGGTTAAGAACCCCAGTCCTTTCCTACTTCTCAGAAGCATGGCCATGTCCATCCCAAAAGCACTGCAGTGGTGCTCATTTCTTCCCCTTCCCTATAAACCTAGTGAGTCTGGGATCTAGTCATTGAACTCAATGTCCCTTGGCTCCTGAACATTTCCATCCACCGTGGGGGCCACATGAACTTCAAAGTCGCTGTTAGGTTGGTTCTCTCCTTTGTCCTGCTCTGGCTACTACTGTGCTTGGGACCTCAGACAGAGAGCTAACCTCTAGGCCTCATTTATAACCCCCAGCTGCCTCATCTGTTACAGAAGGAATAGATGAGATGGCCTTTACATCACTGAAATGTGAAGCTTGGATTCCTCTTACTCCTGGCATACGCAGCTCCTATTCTTACCGGTTTTTCTGACACCCATCTGCTTTGGGGGATTGGTTCATGCATTCTGTCTGTGTGGGCACACCCTGGATTTTCTCCTCAACATTGCTGTCTAATACTATCTACCTGCCACTCTTCTACGAAGCCTGCCCTGATTCAGTAACAGATCTGCTGGCTTCTCCCTTTCCCCCTTTCATCCTCCTTCTTTCAGGGCAGTCTGCCCAGATCCTAACTCTCCTTTGGCAGATCACTTTCTCCCATTACCCTCTAGTCACTTCAGGAGGATAGCTTTCCTCTAGGTGAGATCAGAGGAGTAGATGTGATTGTGATTGCATGTGTGTGTGTATGTGTGTTTGGGGCCTATGTATATACTCTCTCTGGTCATTGGAGTATCTATTCTTCTCGAATTCCCAAGAGTCTGGATCTGAAGGTAGCAGTCTCTTCTCCTCACCCAGCAGTGAACACTTTACAATCCCCAATCCCCCTTACAGAAATGAATGATTCATGACCAGGGCTGAATCTACCTAAAGACATTTTAGGGACCCAGGAAAACCACCCTCCTCTCTACTCCATGCCTCACTCACATGGCTTTTTGCTGTCTGAAATGCTAAAACCTGAACTTTTTTTTCCCTAGCTTTATCAATCAGTTACAACTTAGTATGATCAGTTTATCAGTTACTCTCCTAAAAGCAAGTTTTAACAGGCGGTGGTGGATGGGAGAGAGAAAGAACAGGACCATTCAGGTCACCATAAGGAGTAGAAGTTGTCTTGGGGAGGTTGGGAAACAGGCGCATAAAAGCTTCAAAGTTTTTCCTCTTACTTCTCAATTTGCTTATTCTCTTCAGTTATTCTGGAAATTCAGTCTGAGGTTTTCCTCATTATTTCTGTCCCTGTCACCTTTCTGTTCCCTGCAGCTCCTTCTGTACTAGCCATGGGGTTCCTGTCCTGATAAAGTAACTCCAGAATTGTGCTACAAGAGATAGTGACTAAGGACTCAGTATCACGGATCTGGACTCATGTGGGATAAGATGCAAAGTGACACTCTCCAAAGCACTTGAAGTCTGTCTTGCAGAGACACAGAAGTTCAGCAGACTTTCGGACCTGAGAGGTAAGGTGCTAGAGTAGATAAAGCACTTCATCCTAGAGTTGGGAATATATTAAGAAGATAATAATAGTTAACGTTTCTATAACACCTACTATGTCACAGGCACTGTGCTAAGCACCTTACAAATACTAACTCATTTGATCCTCACAACAGCCCTGGGTGGAGGTACTAATATTATCCCCACTTTACAGATGAGGAAACCGAGGCCAACAGAGGTTAAGTGATTTGCCTAGGGTCACACAGCTAGTAACTGTCTAAGGCTGGATATGAATTTGGGTCTTCCTGACTCCAGGTCCAGTGCTCTATCCACTGTGCTATGAAGCTGCTCAAGATAAACTCATGTAAGGAAAGATAGGAACAAGAAAGGGGAAAGCATGGTAGAGGGCATGATAGAGAACAATGGAAACAGAACCAGCATTCTCATTAGAATGAACTATATACCACCCAGACAGAAAGAGTAAATAGATGTGATTTGTTTAGCAAACAGATTACAAGCCTAACACAGAAGAATGATACAGTAGTGGTGGGAGACTTCAGTTATGTGGATATTGACTGGAACTCTCCACTTTACCTAAAGTTAGTGTAGCTAAAAATTTATTGAATTGCCTTAATGATAATTTTATCCTTCAAAAGGTAGAGGAACTCCTCATCTTGATCTGATTCTTACCACTGAGAAGAAAACAGCTGCTGGGAAGGAAACAATAGGAATTTTGGGGGAATTGACCATCTCATTTTAGAATGTGTGACCAACAAAGAGACACATTCTGACATGCATCCTAGATTTTTGGAGAGCAGATTTCAAAGGATAAAGATAGGTAGGATCCCATGGATAAAAATTCTACAGGGGAAGTAAGTTTAAAAAGGATATAAAACTTTCAAGATCATAATTCTAAAGTCCTGAAGAGAAACAATTCTAATTGTGAGGAAAAGGAAGAGTAGAGAGACTGAAGTGGAGGCATAACTCTTCCACAAACATTTCTTAAATGTTTACTATATTCTAGACACTGTGCTGAGTTCCAGGGAAATAAAGATGGGCAAAAACAGTACTTTCCCTCAAGGAGATTACATTCTAGAAGAGAGACAACATGTAAAAAAGTACGTACATGTAATGCAGACTAAAAGGGATGTAACCTTAGAGGGATACACTTTGGCATCTAGGACAGATCTGGAAAGGCTTCCTGCATAAGTACCTTAAAGGAAGCTGTGGCTTCTAAGAGATACAGGTAAAAAAGTAAAATATTCCAGGCATGAGGGACAGCGAGTGCAAATGCATGGAGACAGGAGATGTAGCATCCTATCTGAGGAATAGTAGTAGCTCATTAACTAATTGATTATAAACAGACTTGTACAGAAAACATAAGCAAGGGCAGGTAATGGAGCATGAATACAAAAGCACGGGCCAATACTGTAAGAAATAGTGTTCAGAGTGCTAAGGCTCAGAACAATTTGGGGCCAGGCAGGAAAAAGGACAGGACAGGACAGGACAGGACAGGACAGGAAAGGAAAAGAAAGGAAAGGATTTGTTCATTAAAAAAAAAAGAAGAAACCATACTACAGAAAAGATGCTCAAATAAAGGACAGGGCTGCTGTCTTAGACAGAAGGGATGATGATAATGAACAATGGGGAGAAGGCATGAACAATGGACAGAAAGCAGAGCTGCTTGACTTTACTTGTCTTCTATGTCAAGGAGAATGGTCTTTGGACTGAAAGGGGCAGAATAAAAATGGCAGCAGGGTACTGGCTTTGGAGTCAGAGGGCCTAGATTCAAAATCCACCTACAAATAGAGAGATAATAATCAGATGTCATTGATGAGTTCAAGTCATCAGGTACATAGGAGCTATATCCTAGGGAAAAGAACAAATGAACAGATGCAACTGCTAAGCTATTGTGGGTGATCTTTAAAAGATCATGGAGAAGGGGAGTAATAGAGTACTGAAGAAGGGCAGATAATAACCTGATCTTCAGAAAAGGGAGGAAAATGGAGTCTGCCAATGAGCCTGACTTTGATTCCTGGTAAAATTCTGGAATGTATTACTAAGGGAATGGTTGGTGAGCATCAAGAAAAGAAAGAGGTGAGCTTGAAAAGTCAGCATGTATTCACCGAGTTAGTCTGGTCATGCCAGACAACTTCCCTTTTTCAATGAGCCACTAGATGGACAGGCAGGGGGAATGCTGCAAAGAAAGTATACTCAGATTTAGCAAAGCATTCAATAGTTTCTCAAGATGCCAGTGCTCTATCCACTGCACCACCTAGCTGCCCCCAAAATCAATTTTTTAAGTACAAACTGAGAAGTAATGGTTAGAGAGAAGTTCATCTGAAAAAGATTTGGGAGTTTTAGTGGACTGAAGTTCAATGAATCAACAGGGTGATGTGGCCACCAAAAACCGAATTTAATAAATGCTGGGCTAAATGAGGAGTGACCAAGTGTCCAGGTCCAGGGAGGTTATCATCTTCTTGTACTTCAGGCCTCAGCTGGAGTATTATGCTTAGTAGTAGGCACTGTAATTTTGGAAGGAAATTGATATGATGGAGAGCATCCAGAGGAAAGTAGCCAAAATGGTGAAGAATCTCAAGACCAGGATTCATGATAGCTGATTGAAGAAACCAGGGATGTTTAGCTTAAAGATTAAAAGACTTTGGGACAGAAGGTCAATGATAGAGGACTTCAATCATGAGAGGGGCTGTCATATGGAAGAGGGAAAGGTGCAAAGCAAAGACTTCCTAACAATCAGAACCATCCCAAAGCAGAAAGGACTGCTTTGAAAACGATGGGTTCCCCTTTCCAGGAGTTCTTCAAGTAAAGGCTGAACACTATCAGGCATGTGGTGAGATGACTGTGGTTCAACTGTGGGCAGATCCCTCAACCTCTCTAAGCTTCAGTTTCCTCATCTGTAAACTGCAGATAATAATACTTGCAGTATCTGTCTTTGTGGGCTGCTGTGAAGATTGAATAAGTGAATCTATATGTATACACACACACACACACACACACACACACACACACATATGTATGTATGCATGTAGATAGCTTTGTAAAGTACTGCAAAAATGCTAGCTCCTATTATTCATCTTCAATCTCTCTTTTTAGTTCTCCCAACTACAGAGAGCAGCCTTCACTACTGGCGTCCTCTTTGCTTTGGGCAGCTCCTCCCACAGAAGGACCCAATGGCCTGGAACCGTTCTTGAGTAGTGTCCTGCTCCAACTCCACAGGTGGCCCCTGCTCTGTCTTGGGCCCTGGGCAGAGTCTCATTAAAACAGCTCCTTTCTGGTGAGGTGATGTGAGGCAGCTTGCCTGACAACTCCTGCAACTTTTGTTGTATCTAGGCCTTGTAACTAGGTTTGGTTCTCACTGTCTATCTAGAACTTTGTCTATAGCATATAAATCCTCATTTCCACTCAACTCAATCCACTGAGTTGTCCATGATCATGTTACAGAAAAAATAATACTATTTTTTCAACTGTAACATGTTAGACTTTTCTCTGCTGCCTTTGAAGGCACACAAGCATTGTGGCACTGTGGATAGAGCGCTGGATTTGGAGGCAGGAAACCTGGGTTCAAATTTTGTCCACACTTCCTAGTTGTGTAATTGCAGGCAAGTCATTTAAACCCTCAGAGTGCTGGTTTTCTGATCTCCAAAATGGGGATAACAGTCCTTTCATTACTGCCCTCACAGGGCTGCTGTGAGGAAAGCCTTTTATAAACCTCAAAGCTGCATATAAATAGGAATTCTTCAGTTCTTGATTTCCTGGCTGGGCTCCAGCGTCTGGGGATAGCTTTCCTTGAGGTGGTGTCAATATCTCCTTGGACAGCACCACTCCCAGCTCCCCAGGCTCTCCCAGGATCCTGGCTGTCCCAGTGCCAAAAGCTGCTCTTTCTCCTCTTCTCTGGCCCCAACAGCTGCCGTCATTTTTCTTTCCTCCTTTTTTCTCCTCCCAGACACAGCAAGCCTAAGTCCAGTGAAGGACGAGTTTTCTGTCAAAATAGCATTGCTCCAAAGGCAGCTGCCTGAGAAATATCATTAGAGAGGAGGAGGTGAGGCCATCAGCAGTCTGGAGCTGGGGCTCAGTGCGGAAGGAAACAACAGAGAAGGCTAGGCAGTGCCACACGTCAGCCTGGCCAGTCTGCTGGTGGCCTCTGTGGCCCCTGCTCCTTGGGGCTGTGTCTACCTCCTCAGCTCCAATCTCGCCTGGGGGATGTTGCAAAAGTCTCCTCTTTTTCACTCATCAATCTATTTCTCCGGGCAGGGTAGAGATGAAAGGGAAGAAGGTCAGGGAAGAAAGATATAAAAGAGGCTGAAAAAATAGAGAGACCGGGGAGCACAGCCTCTAAAGGTCATCTCTCTAATGCCTCTCAGTCCTCCAAGAGCATGAATTTCCATAGGCAGAGGAGGCCAGGAAATGAGGAATTGTAAGGGGGTGTGAAAAGAGGATAGGGTCTTTCAGAGAGCTGGCAATGCCCATGGGATGACTACCCCCACAGCTCTGCTTGTTTCCATGGTAACTGGCTACTCACTCCACTCAGGGCTCTGTTAACCTCTAAAGGAAAAACACCCAGTACAGGCAAACCAAGGATCTTTCCTTTTTGGCTCTCTGCCCTGGGGAGTGTGGACCTCAGAAAATGGAATCATGAGGTGGGAGGAAGAAGGGGAGTGCTTACGTTTGAGTGACGATTCTTGGATACAGAGACAATCTGTTCTCTACTTAGCCTAACCAAGGTGTCTCAGAAGAAAGCAGAAGCTCCTTGTCGTTTGGAAACTATTCACCACATTCACTGCTTCAGATTGTTTCTAAGTCTCACTTGTAGGTTCAGGAAAGAGCCTTTCAGTCGCCATACTAAAAGCCAGTGCATAGGCCTGGGGAATTAGATGAAGAAAGAATAGGGTCCTGAAAGGTGTTTGGTGGGGTGGGTGGGGGTAAGGTGGCACTTAGGCTCTTCATCCTTTCAGTCAAACTTGTTAGAAAGGGTGATTATATCTTTCTCCCATTGGAGAAATGGAGGCTTCTCAAGGATGGGGAGAATGGCAAAGCAGCACACTCACCAGTCTCCACGTCTTGGACATAAAAGTGCAGGTCATCAGTGATCTCTGTCACAAATACAGGCTTGTAGCTGGCGGAACGCTCCTTTTCTTCCAGCACTGGGGACACCTCTTCCATGGGCTGCTCCTCATAGTGGGCCCACACCTGTGGGCAGTGAGAGAGAGGGGGAGGGAGCTAAGTTCCATACAGGGGACTTCAGATACGGGACGGGTACTCAGAGGGTACCATGGTGAGAAAGGGGTAGCTAGCCAGATGTCTTCTTTTCCCTAGGCACCTTATCTTGTCTGCCCAAAGCTCCTACTAGCTCTTGGAGAGGTGGAGCTTATCCAACAAAGTTTCTAAGTGGTTGGTGGTACTTCAGTGTACGATATCTTAAAGGCAACACCTTCTGGGTGACCTGGCCAAGTACTTTGAGTTAGGGAACTGCTGGGACTACCTAAGGCAGCTTGGGGAAGTGGAAAAGGATGAGTTTGGAGCCAGAGGACCTTTGGTTTAAATCCTGTTGTTGTTTCAGTCATGTCCTACTCTTTGTGACCCCATTTGGGTCACATTTGGGTTTTTCTTGGCAGAGATGCTGGAGTAGTTTGCCATTCCCTTCTCCAGCTCACTTTACAGATAAGGAAACTGAGGCAAACAGGATGAATTGACTTGCCTAGGGTCACACAGCCAGTAAGTGTCTGAGCCCAAATTTGAACCCAGATCTTCCTTACTCCAGGCCTGGTGCTCTATGCCCTATGCTGCCACCTGGCTCTGCCACTTATCATTGGGATGACTTTGAACAACTCACTTAACCTCTCCGGCCCTCAGTTTTCATGTCTGTAAAGTAAGAAGGTTGAACTAAATGATCTCCTCGGTCCATTCACAGTTCTAAATCTGTGATTAAGTGAAAGACTCCTCCCTGCCAACTAGATTGCAAAGGCAACTAAGGAGAATGGTCCATACACACTGAGACTGTGTGGGGACAGAGAAAGCCCAGGAATGGGGATGGGACTTTTCTGAATTCTACCACTGAGGTGACTAAGTTAGACAAGACGTTTTGAGTCCATCTCTCAAGGGCCTCCTAGGCACCACCTAGGACAATGCCAACCAACGCAGTCCTGGGCAGTGGGGGGCAGGGGTCAAGGAACCCTCTTCTCAATAACCCTTGTCCATTACTTCTAAAACTCAGCTCTAACCTTAGTCAGTGGCTGGACTGCTCCCTTTCTAACATCTCCTCGCCTCCCTCCCTTCTCCTCCCACCAAGCCGTCAGGGATGGGGTGGCTCAGACACTGATTCAATGTGACGGCACGTCAAGTCTAATCCTGCAGCTGGGAGATTATCCGAGTGGTGACGCTTGTCAGACCTGGGAAGGGAGGTGACTTTCTAGTCGAGCAGTGACAAGGGGGTGGGTCCTAGAAGAAGGTCTAAGACCACATGTTGGGATAGACAGGCACCTATCTAAAAGTACCTGGGAGGTCTGGGCCCTGTCTGAAGCCCTCAATGAGGTGTTATGGGGACAGGAACAAGGACGGGGACAGGGACTGCACGTGCCGGGAGATGAGAGGCAGGAATATAGTGGAAATACTTTGACTTGATAAGTAAGGAGTCCTGGCTCTGATACCACAGAACTGTATGACCTTGAGGAAGTAATTTAAATTCTCTGGGTCTGTTTCTTCATCTGGAAAATGAGGGGGTAGGGGAGTGGGGGTAAATTGGGAGATGTCTAATGCCTCTTCTAGCATGAGCATGTTGTGACTGTAAGCCTTTGGGATAGCCAGAACCAGCCTCTTGCTCATTCTTGGAGATGGAAGCAGAGTGCAGGTGAAGAGTGTGATATGCCATCCTGGGTCAGAGAGGGCATCTTGCCTAGGGTTCTGACAGTGGAGCCAGGGCTGTGTTCCATCACATGCTTCACATGAAGAAGGAGGAATTGGGAGGTCCAGGGGATTAGAGCTGTGGGTGTGATTGTGGTAGTGCCAAACCTTCTTCTAAGACATGGAAACTTCCATCCTACCAAACAGAATTTTGCAAAGATTCCTTTCCTCGTTTCCTAAGATAAGAGCATATATGAGCATTGGATTGGGTGTTAGCTCTGCCTGTGATTATGTGGGGAAGGAAATAATAAGATGGGAGAAAAAAGTAGACCATCGGAACATTTAAAAGTACTGCTATTTCTTTCTCTGTCTTGCCATCCAATTAATTACCTCCTCATCTATTAGCTTCCAGTCTATTAACTCCTATACCTATTTCCATTCCCACCACACCACATTATACTCATCATACGACATCCTAATACTCAAGTACCACCACACACTCTTCTGCTCCCATTAGCTCTGGCCGCCAGATTCACAGAGACTCGGTCAATACAAAGGAAACACCCCCTTCCCCAAAATTCGGCTGAGCAGCAAAAGAGACTTGACAGTTTCTCAAACCACAGCTCTGTTCTGCTCTGACTTTTCTTTCACCATCCTCACCAAGGGAAGAGACAAGCAAAAGCAGAAGCCACCTCCCCAACTGGGACTAGAGGCCCTCAGCCTTTGGGAGCTTCTGGCTCCCCTCACTTGTGCCTTCTGCCCTGGTGTGCTAGGGCTGGGGCTGTCTGCTAGTCTCTTGGGGCCTAACATTTTTCTATTGGAGAGCTTCCCCACACTCCTCTCCAGTCGGAATGTGCCCAGTATGCCTGCTTGGAGAGTCATTCCTAACAATACTCCCATGTCCCTGGGGCACCTGGAGAATCTACCAATTTACTAATCTCTCCATCGATTGGGTTACTCATTGACTCAGTCAGATCATATATGCTGGACTGAGTGAGCCAATGCTTCCACGCAACATCCCTGTACGGTCCCTCTCACGGACTCCTTCTTTCTTCCCTTTGCCTCACCTACTCCCCCGCCTACCTTACCCCCTATTAGGTGCCCAATACTCTTTCCTTCCTGTTACCTTTTGTGATCCCAGGGTCCTCCCTGCCTCACCTGCATTCTGCTTCCATCTCCAACTCTCTAACAGCCTGATGGATCAGAAAGGCCTAATGTCCCCGGGCTGATCCCAGGACAGAACCTCAGGCTGGGGGAGAAGCATAGGAGCATCACTAGTAGCTATTCCCTGGTCTCTCTCCTCTCTGATCCGTGGGGGAGAGGAACGCCAGGGCACAAGAAGGATAAATCTAGAATGAACTGATTATGAACTTCTGGTTACAGTACCAGGCTCCATACACAAAGGGAGAAAAGAAGTTATCTTTGTTCATTTAGGCCACACTGGGAGGCTGTGGGCTGACTACTAGAGGCTGTGCTCTTGACATCTAGAACGAGGGGAGTCACAGTCTGGGCAGGAAAGAAGTCGTCCAACACAAGGGTATCTTGGTATCCCAGACAGTGGAGAGAGGGGACCAACCTTGTCTGGATCCCTCTTGTGGTAGCTCAAGGGGATTTTGTAGCATTAAGATGCTGGCCTAGGAAGAGGAGATGGGAAGTGAGAGCGGTAGTCACAATGATGCATGCTAAGGAGATAGTGAAACCAAGGGATGTAAAAGTGGAGTGCCAGGACCGTGTGGACCAAAGGCTAAAGGTGAGAAAGAGGAAATCTAAGGGTAAAGAGTGTGTGTGTGTGTGTGTGTGTGTCTTTTCTTACTGGACACTCGGCAACAGATCAAATGGGTTTCCTCTTTCAACAAGGGAATCTTTTACATTAAAAATGGACCAAAAGTAGGAAGAGGTCACTTGCAGCTGACCCTCTGACCCAGTGCCAACTGAAGTTTTGTTCAGTCTTTTCTCTAATCAGAGGCAGTATGATATAGTGGAGAGAGTGCTAGGCCTGGAGTCAGAAAGATCTGAGTTCCAATCTTGCCTCTGTTGCTTACTACCTGGGCAAGTCGTGGAATTTCTTCAAGCCTCAGTCTTCCTCCCTGTAAAGTAGGGGAGGGGACACTGGCTTTGCTGGCCTCTAAGTTTCCTTCCGGCTGCAGCTCTGGGGTCCTTCTATGATAACAGGCCCACACACTGGGAGGTTTGGAGAACCTCTTGGAAGGCAGCCTGTGCTTCAGCTGGTCCGCTCCCTGGCTCCCCTGGTACCCTCCTGTGGCTGGACAGTCTCTTGCTACTGGAGTCTGGGGTCCTTGAGGCCAACAGCCATAGGCAGACTGGAGGGGGGAGCTGGCTTATGGAACTTCATTAAGGGAAGAAGTTAGGTAGGAAATAGTCTTCAGGATCAACTCCAGGTGTGCCCCCACCCCTTCACTCTGCCCCTGGAGCAGAAGGGGGCTCTGGTGATAGTAATTCACTCCCCCTCCGCTGTGGATTTTGTGCCGTGAGAAGATAGACATTGACAAGACATCTGCTAACGCCACGTCCTCACTGCCATCACGAGCTCCCTCGCTTCATCACTTCAGATCACCAACAAGAAGCATGTCACTTGTAATCCCCAAGGCTGACACTCCTTTTACTGTCACTGAATAGGCCTTTGGAAGGAGACGAGGAAACCCAAGGCCCCCTTTCCAGGGAGCAACAGTGATTCCTGCAGGAGTGTCGGGGTAGTACATGGGGTTTTCCCCTCACCTCCTCAGTGAGGAGGCTTCCACAGCTAAAGTCCTGGGGGCAAGGGTGACAGGAGCAGGGCTCTGCCCAACCTCAAGGCAGCAGGACTTCTGTGCTGCTGGCTCACCCTTAGACAGAAGACCCTAAGGCCCACCCGTATTTTCCAGCTCATTGTCTGCTCATCTATTTGGTGGATTAGTGGGGAAAAAAACAAAAACAAAAACAAAAAAACAGCAGCCACCCAGATTCCCTCTGATATTTTAGCTTGGATGGCCCGGTCTACACTTTTTCATAGCACTGCTCACAGGTTCAAGTTAAGTCCAAGCTGGAAAAACACTTTTCCCTTTTCCTTCCCTTCCTCCCCAAAGCTTCTTTTTGCCCCAGTACACTGCTCTGAATTGGAGAACTTGGCTCTGAAACACTACCTGTTGGTGCGGCTCCTCCAGTTAAGTACAGAATCAGCTTAACTTGTACAGCAAGGACAGGGGGATGGTGTGAAGGGCAAATCAGGTTGGGAAGGAGTAGCTTCCTTTTCCATCCTGCCTCATCCCTCCTCTGCTCTTCCTCCCCAGGGAGCCCCCCTGTCCTCACTTGGCAGGAGGTGGGAAGCCTGGTCTGGGGATCTGCTGGCTCAAGTCTTTCCTTTCTAAACTCTATTTAATACTGCTATTCTCAGGATTCAGGGGAAGGGCTGGCTTGGGGCCAGGGTGGAAGATGCCTTGACGCCCTCAGCAGGGGAGCCAAAATAAATAAAAGGAAATCAATGGCCAACGTAACCCTCTTTTTTTCAGCTAGGGCCATGATGGGTGGGAAGAGACAGGAAACAGGCAGCATAATGGAAAGAGGCGCCTGCTGCTGACCCCACGGCTTCCAGGTCTACCCTGGGCCCTGGGAGGAGAATGAGGTTTGCAGTTAGTCAGCCTCCTACTGAGGGGAGGGCATGGTTCTACCCAATCCTTTCACTGAAGAGTCTATATAGGGACAGGGAGGAATTAGCCCAGCAGGGGGTAGCTACTAAATGGAAAATCCAGTTGTCAGGTTCTCCAAATAGATGCATGTACACGTGCCTGGGTGTGAGTGTGTGCAGACAAGCACATGCATTACCCCTCCAGCCCCCAGTCTTGTGCTTTTCTCCTAACATCTCCCCCAAAGTCCCTGAGAGGAGAGGAGAGGCCCAGTTACTGAGTTCTTAGCAGTTGCCTTTCCTTGGCTCTGATGTACTAATATCCCCAATGTCCACCTCTTTCGGTTGGTATCCTGGCCACAGACATCCCTTCTTCATTCACAGTACCTTGGTAGCTTTGTTTGACTCTTATCTTAATGTATATGCTGCCAAAGCAAGCCCGTTTGCACCTTAAATGGGTCCTGGGTCTTGGTTCTAAATACTCAACAAATTTTCCTGCCCTAAGGCCAACAATCATGCCCTGAAGTCACACCAATGGCCCTGGTATAGGCAAGGCCAGCTAAGCCAAACTAGGGCCTACATGGAGATCTACATGCAGCAGGTTTAGTACATGCAGCAGGTTTAGCAGCTTCCACTAGCACCTACAGGGCCCTTGAAGAGGCTTTGCTACCTGCTCAGGCTAGGGGGTAGCGGTAGAAGAGCCCAAGAGGAGGGCAACCCCTAGCACAGACAGAGAGGTCCTGTTCGTTAATTGGGCTGAAATAGAAACGTGCAGTCTGTGTAAGTAATTAATCATTGATAATGACTTCCTGGCTTTATCAAAGGGCAACAGCAAATGATGACTTGGGCTCATTCAGCCAAATCTACTCTACAGTAAATAATGACACCCAATTCTAACACCGGACAAAGAATGTGCTCCCTTCATCAACCCACTGGCTTTTTCTCTCTGCCCTTAACTCTGGGGGGCCTGGCCTCTCTTGCTCTTGGCTCAAGAGGGCCAGAGAACTGTTCCCATCTACAATGGGCAGCTACGAGGTGGCAGGGTGGGAGTGACAGAAGGAGAGACTGTTTCTGAATTTGGGTCTTGAAAATGGGTGTTTGCTATTCATACTAGTGATTGTGACTACTCAGAGAGGACTTAAACCTCTGCTGACATGGTGCTCACCTACATACATCAACCAATTCTGATCTCCCTCTAAGAAGCTTTAAAAATGCAGTGGAAAGGACAAGGTTTTGTAGAGGGCAGAAAATGCTGCCCTTGATGTTTGGAGAAGCTGGAGGTGGGTGCCAGGAAAAGACCATGTTTGGGAAACTGGGCTTTGGAGAAAAAGGCAAGACTTCTTCCAGGGAGGGGGGGGAGAGGGAGAGAGAGAGAGAAAGAGAAAGAGAGAGAGAGAGAGAGAGAGAGAGACAGATTGTGTTTGTGTGTGTGTGTGTGTGTGTGTGTATGGCTGGCTTCTACCACCAAAGTGACTGAGGGGGAAGCTTGTTCCATCTTCTTGGGTGATTTCTGAACTGCCATGTATTATTGCTAACCTCAAATTTCAAAAGAGCTGGGTATATGGTTTATTCTGGGTGGGTGGGTGGATGAATTGGGAGGGAAGGCAGGGATGAGGAGGAAGAAGAGGGAAATTTTAGGGGGAGAAACCAATTCTATCCGGGGGAGAAAAGGTAAAGGGTAGAAAGACCTAAGAGACGGAGCAAGGAGTCTTCTGTTATGGGCAGGAAAAGTGACAAAAGAGCAAAGGAACCCCTGCCTTTAGTTAGGTAAGCAGGCCCAGCTCTGGGAATTGGAGACGTAGAACCAGATGATTACCCCCATAGGGAAGGAAACATTCCTGGAACAAATTTATGGCTCAGCATGGCTGTCCTACAAAATCCTCCTCAAGCACAGAGAAACCCTGACAAATTGGTGGCCGATTGATTTATCCCCATTATCAGTGCTGGGCTGTAAGTCAACCACTGCCAGGCTTTTGGAGAGGGTGGGTGAGGGCAGTGAAGGCTGGCTCCCACCACCAAAGCAGTTTGTTCCTTATCAATGATTTGTTTCCCCAAAATACTTCCTGACCCATCCCCCATCTCCTCAATGCAGTGTCTGCAGAGGCTGATGTACTGTAAATCTGCCATCCTAACAGGTTTATGTCTCTCTGGGGGTAGCTTCCAAAATGGGCTTCCCAGCTGGGTAACGTAAAGCAGATTCAAATTAGTGCCTCTGGCCATCCAAGGAATCCTAGAGACGTCAGGGGCCAGGCAAAAGTGCAGTGCTCCCATCTTTTTCTCCCCCTTGGGGGCTCATCTCCAATTGTTTTCATATAATCTACCTTATTCCAGTCTCTCATTCCAAATGCCTTATTGTTACTAGCACTAAATGAATATTCTTGAGTTATATACCATGAATGAGAGTGGTACCTGGGAGAGAATGATTCAGTGTCAAGGGTAAGGGGTTAAGAGGATACAAAGAATTTCCATCTCCAAGTAGATGGTTCCCTTTGTGACAACCCTATCTCAGCAAAGGGCTTTTTGACTTACTTCAAAGATCTGTAATTCTGTAGCTGTGCGTACTTGCTGCAATTGATGCCAATCAGAAATCCTTTATAATTTAGTAGGTGATCGAAAGTTGTTGTTGGGGGGAAAAAATCTTCATCATATAGCCAAGCTGGTGATGAGTCTGGCCCTTGGAAAACAGACTTATGGCCATCCACTGATGCCATTCCAGCTGGGTAAGACCTGCCTAAGCTTAGCTCCATTGGCATGGCCTTTGAAAAGCCAGGGGCCCCTCCATGGCATGCAGAGGCATCAGAGTAGCCTTTAGTAGAAACGTCTTAACCCGAACACTCTAAACCGCCCCCCCCCCCCCCCCCGCCATGACTACTTACCTTCTCTTTCTTTTGTTTGGCAGCTTCTTCGGCAGACAGCAAGGACTTGTAGTAGGAGCTACGCTCGGCAGTGAAATGAACCTTGGAAAGCGCATGCTCCACCAGCGAGACTGACAGGTTGGCACCATCGATGTGCAGCCAGCCGATGAAGTTCCCAGCCTTATCCATGCTCTCTACCTCCACTTCTACCTGGGGACACAAAAATACGGGACTGAGTCAGCAGAGGTATGGATTTGGGGCACTGGGGTTGATGCATGGTAAAACACAGGAAACTACTGACTGTGTGCAGGAGACACTGTGATACTTCTTGGATTCTTGCATTTCATAAACTGAAATCTGGTTGAATCTTCTCTATGAAACAGGAGCGGGTAAGGATATCTCAGTCATGGGAATATCAGTGTCTATAGCTATTCCCCAATCTTTCTGCCCTTCTACAATTCTTAGAACTCTTCCTTTTAATCCTAGGACCTATGCTGTCATAGTCCAAAATCGTGCCACCAATGAGCCCCTTTCTCTTGCCTTTAGGCTTCAGACCACCTGTGTCCGCTTAACAGGAAGCCTGCTGGATATTTTCCTTGTCTCTTTGTGGCCTGGGGATCCCCAGCTGGAATGTCAGCTACCCAGGATATCCACTATACCAACCAGGACCTTTCCATCAATCTGCCACAAACTTGGGGCTTGAGGGGGTAAATCTAATCATTAAAGCAGGCTTGGTCCAATGTTGGGCTCCTGAAGCAGGGAAAGCAGAGGGGGTGCTGGTTCCAGGTTTCTGGACACAGTAGAGATTTTGTCTTAGGATGGCCAATACTAATGTGCTTTGAGATGGCAGAGAGGAGGGCTGAGGAACATGGTTGGTGTTGGTTACTACCCTTCTTCAGCTCCCACCTCCAGCTCTGCAGCAGAAAGACAAGTGGGCCCTTAGGGAACCAGACTGTCCCTGAAGATTGGGGAAGCAGTGCTTTGCCTAGAGGAGCTGAATGAATGAATTTTTAATGAAAATAATTAAAGTGGTTACCATGAATGCCAGGTAGGGATAGGGAGAAGAAGACAGACATGGCTGAGTGGGACTAGATGATCTTTAGGGTCCTTACAAATAAAGATCTTATAATTTTATGCATTGTAACCATTTTCCTAGATCATGGGCCCAGACAAGGCCTTTATGCTTGTTTGGCTAAAGGTCAGGCCTGAATAACTCCTTTGGGCATCCTATGAACTCACTGGCTTCTTTCTCCTACTCTAGAAATAGCTTCATCCACTTGGAACCCAAAGAGATACAATGAGGAGTAACACTAAACAGCACTGTCCTAGCTCCAATGTCCTATCCAGGGAAAAGGCCTCAGGTATACGCCCCTTCCCCCCAGTGACTATTCCCCATCTTTCCAGGGCTATTACTCTCTCATTCAAGTTCCTAGCTTGGCTTGAGTTTCTCTTCTGACTCTCCTCTCACCTCCCTTCTCACTCCACTAAAGGGGGCCATAAAAGCCTTTGCTGCCAAGTGTAAAAACTTGCACTAATTTAAATGGCTTCAAGCTCGATTAAACAATAAAATGAATGTCTAAATACCTGAGAATTCACTGGTGCCTGGGACAGAGCCAGCAGTGGCAGCAGCCTGGGTCATGGGGCAACCCAGCCTCCACTGGGATTTTGGGAAGCTCTTTGAGAGAGGAAGGGTAGCATAGGTAGATGATTACTCTCTGCCTGAGAGGGAAGAGTCCTATCTTTGATGACTACTAAGGGTCAAGGGGAGACAGTAGTAGATGAAACAGGCACCAGCTTTAATGTGCGCTCCACTGACCAGACAGCAGCTGAACTCTCACCCCTACATTCTATACATACTGATGGTTAACCCTTTAAATATTAGTATTATTTGAATAATGCCCCAAAACAGGAATATAGTACAAGTCCATATAACTGGGAGTGAGGGGACCCTTCCCTCCTGGCTCCTCTATTAGATTATAAGCTCCTTGAGGGCAGGGACTGTCTTTTGCCTTTGTTTGTATTATCAGGGCTTAGGACAGTGCCTGGTATATAGCAGATGCTTAATAAATGCTTATTGACTGACTAGACCCTAAGGCTTTTTTACTCTTGATTCTTTACTTTGAGAAATATTAGCTTTCTTTGGTTCAGTATTAACCTCTTCCTCTTCAGATACATTGTCTACTCCCCTTGCAACAGGTGGCTGATCAGGATTATTATCCTCAATTGGACTGTGCTGGTCACTTTACAAGCCTAGCTCCCTACTTCCTGTGTCCCAAATGGGGCTCTGTACTGAGAAGTGGGTCCTGGCAGGACTCACTGAATGGAAAGCCAGTCACTACCTACATTCCCACTATGCCAGGACCACCTGGCTCTAACAAAGCCTCATGGAATAAGAGAAAAGAAGAACTATGGCTACTAGATATGCATTTCCTCTCTTTTCTACTGGCAATTATCTCACAAGAGGAATTCATATCGGAGGTGGTAAAGGGGGCAGGGGGAACAGAAGAATTGCTGCTCAGAAAGCAGCCGAACCAATAAAAATAGGTGCTCAGATCACAAGCTGCTGTGGCAACTGAAGTTTATAGGGAGAAGTCCCTAATGTTTCCTGCTACCACCTTACTGCCCAGGAAGTGCCAGTCAATGATGGGGTGGACAACTATAGGACACTGCCCTGGTATAAAAGTATTAGCCCCTAAATGGTGGTATAGAGTTCAGCCGAGGATCAGAGATAGGGAAGTCACACTCATGAGCCTCTTTATGGTGCCTTCCTTAATGCCAGAAAGCATGTTTTAACCTTTCCATCTAACATTCAGTTCAAGATTGAAGAGATTTTCCATTTGAATGGCTTTGATTTCAAGATGATGGTGAGGAAGAATGAGATGGAAGAAATAGGGAAAATGGAGATTATCTTTTCATTGCTAGGCTTTGCCAACCATGTGGATAACACTTCCCTCCCTTCCTCTTCTCCACATGGAATTCTGATGAAGTGACAGGAAGAAGAGGGGCTCTCTGACTCCTTCCTGGGCCCTTCCCAAGAAAACTGTGGACCACTGCTCCATCTCTGGCACCAGTAGGTATATGGCAGGGAACAGCAGTATTGGCAGCTCTGAGGGATGTGGGGAGGACTGTGCTAAGATTGATAGGCATCCTCGGTGACTATCGGCATTACTGCTCTAGACCAGGGGTTCTCAACCATTTTTTGTATCATGGACCCCTTTTCGCAGTTTGGTGAAGCCTATGGATTCTTTTCCAGAATAATCTTTTTAAATAAAAATACAACATATAGGATTACAAATGTAACCAAAGGTTAGTGAAAACAAAGATCCACTTTTTCCTCTCCAAGTTCATGGACCCCCTGAAATCTACTGTTCTATTCTGAGTCTCAGTGATCAGCACTTTTTCCTAAACCTTTGGCTAAGAACCCCTGATCTAGACTGTTAAAGACTGGTGCTGAAAGACAAAGCTGTACAGGGAAAAAGCTGGACATAATCCCATTGCATCTAATGAAAAACCCACCAGACAGTTTCTGTCCACTGTGACCAACTTCAAATTTACATCATTCTCTTTTGAGGCAAGACCCAGAGTGTCTGTCTCTCAGAACCAGCAAGCCTCATGAAAGGACCAATGGCCTTCGGGAGCAGCCCAGTTCTTTCTTAATAGGTAGGGCTGACTATGGCACTAAACCAGCGTTTTCCTGCCTGTAATCAATATGCTAACTTGTGCCTGACAAGTCCCTGGGCCCAGCCAGCCACTCAAGGAAAAACCTCTGGCATTGGGTTATGGAGCAGGCTGCAGGAAGATATAAAGCTGTCACCCATGGGCTACTCCTATTTCCCTTTTTTATTGCCACTTCTACTGCTGCGGTTTTCTCAAACCACAGACCCCAAGGGAAGCCAGAGCTGAGCTCAGTGGAAGAATTAGGTGCTACTGGTGGTCCTGCTTCCCTGGGCTTCTTCTGGTCATTGGCCATGTGGGACAATTCCTCGCCCCTCGGCTTTGAAGTTGCCTTTTTGGGACAGAATTCAGCCTGCATGGATGTGGTGTGATACCTGATTCATGGTCCTGAGGCTCTTATCACACCACTTTCCAGTCATCACTGTCTACAAAGGGCTTACTTAATAAAGAAAGTTCAGGGATAGCTAGGTGGTGCAGTGTATAGAGCACTGGCCCTGGAGTCAGGAGGACCTGAGTTCAAATGCGACCTCAGACACTTGACACTTAACTGTGTGACCCTGGGCAAGTCACTTGACCCCACAAGTTCAGCAAGCAAGGTGTTCTACAACATACCCCAACTTTTTTTTCCTAGTCTTATTTCTTATCACTTTCTAACATATAACCTTTGTTCTACCAGCCAGACTCTCTTGACTTTCCCTGAATATATTTTTCACTTTTTCCCACTTCCACACCTTTGCTAAAGCTGTCTCTTCCCCCTAGAATGCCTTTGCCCTGTATCTCAGTCTGCTGAAATGCTACCCAATCTTTAAACCCCTGCTCAAATGTTATTTACTTCATAAAGCTTTCCTAGATATCCTAAAGGGAAAGATTTCTCCCTTTTCTGAATCTTTAAAGCACTTCATCTCTCTCTTATGGCACATATCACCATTCTGCCTTGTACTGTTATCTGTGTGCTTGGCTTATTGTTCCTTATAGATTATAAGCTCTCTGCAGGAGGGGACTAAATCATAGCCATCTTTACAGCCTCAGTAGCACCCAGCCCAGTATTTTGCACAGAGTAGTTGACATTTAAATAGCGATTTAAGATTTGCAAGGCACTTTATACATCTTATTTTATATGATCTTCACATATTTTATATGATCTCACCCTGCTAAGATACGTGCAATTATCACTGACATTTTACAGATAAGAAAACTAATGTTAAAAGAGGTTAACCAATTTGTCCTGGGTCACACATCTAGTAAGTGGTTGAAGTAGGATTCAAAAATGTTGTTTAATGGAATTAAGGACTCACTTCGGTCTTTCAGGGAAAGCTGTGGAAAAAGCCGGGGCCTATTACGTGAATAGGACAAGCTCCAGGATATCAAAGAACATTCTTCTTACTAGCATATATGGCCCCTTGACTGTTATTAGCTCAGAGAGGATCAGGAGGAGTAGGGTGAATGAACTATGGAGATGGTGGTCTCCTTTAGAAACCATATACAATGGCATGTGACAGGGCTGTTTCTCTTTCTGGTGTCACATAAAGGTATGT